GCGCAAGAAAGAAAGTCCTATAAATGAAAATAAATTAAAAGAAATACGTGGAAAAGAAAATAAAAAATAATAATAATGAAAGAGATAACGAGAGAGGAGTGAAGAAGTAGTTTACCTTTTGGTCCTAGTGTGACGTCAGATGGGTCCCACGATGTCAACAGATAGGGCCCCACATTTCAAATCCGCCAGGATTCCCTATCGCTTTATCACTGAAAAATCGTTACCAGGGACGGTGCGCACGTGTGAGAGACACACGGGGGTTATAAAATTAATTAATTAATTTTAAAAAAAATACGAATCCCACTGTCGTAAAACACGAAAAGTAAGAGGAACAGAATCAGTGATCTGATATTATGATGCCATATCGATATGTATGTACTTTACCTTTCTTTTTTACTTTTTACTTTTTACGTAAAACTAAATTTACCATAATTTTATTTTTTTCTCTTTTAAAATAAATAAATTTAATAAGTCTCATAAAATTTAAATATCAAACATTCAATTTACCGCTCACTACTGACATCAATTATGTTGTCTTAGAGTTGGATTATAAACTTATTTTCGAATTTGTTGAGTTAACTTAACCTTAACCAACAAAAAAAAAAAAAAAAAGACTTCACAGTGTGAATGTTTGATTAATCCACCACAGCCAAATGGTGTGAAAGTTATCTTATTTATAATCAAATGAATTACAAGGATATGAAAATAGTAATAAATGGAAATAACAATAAATGGAAAGATACCTATGATAATAAGGCAAATATCTACTCATAATAAAATATCAAATATAATATATATGGTAAACTATAATTTATTATTAAATATCCTTAACACCCCACCGCAAGCTAAGCGTCGGATTTAAACGAACGTGAAGCTTGAATCTGAAAAATTCAAAGAGGTTGAGAAACACTTTTTATGAAGATGCTAACAACCCGGTTCTTGGCCATCAAAAATTGCAGAGGGATCGCCGCTCAGCGGCGATGCTGCCTTGGCTTCGGCGAGAATATGTCTAACCCATGAAGAGGGATTGTCGCTTAGCGACGATGCTGCCTTGGCTCTGGTGAGAATATTTCTAACCCCAAGAAGTAGAAGGGGAAACCTAGAGCAAGGGACAAATACAATGTTGAAGCCGGAAGAGTCGCCACATTGGGCGAAGGAGCCAATTTTGGCGAGAAGGACAGTCGGAAGAGTCGCCTCATCGGGCGAAGAAGCCAATTTTGGCAGGAAGGGCGGCGGCAACTTGGTTGGCGAATATGCCAGTGCGGCACCCAGATTCCGAAGGTAAATCTCTACAAAAGGTTGATAGGTTTAGGTTAGGGTTTATGTGAAGGATGAAGGTTGACTGGGAAGAAAATGAGAGATACTATATTGGCCAAGGGGAAAACCGATTGGGTTGGAAAAGGTGAGGTTGTATGTACAGAGTATGACGAAAGGTGATTTGGAGGTCAATAGGGTGGAGCCGAAGAGTAATCAATCGGCTCCGACTACGGCAACCATGAAGACTGCCTCTGCGGCGTCAAAACCAGCAGGGGTGGTGGAGAAGAAGATTAGAGGATTCAAAAGCCATTGAAAAGAAAGGATCGGGGTTGTTAAACCGAGAGGGCTCTGATACCATGTGAATGTTTGATTAATCCACCACACCTAAATGGTGTGAAAGTTATCTTATTTATAATCAAATGAATTACAAGGATATGGAAATAGTAATAAATGGAAATAACAATAAATGGAAAGATACCTATGATAATAAGGCAAATATTAGATATTTGCCTTATAATAAAATATCAAATATAATATATATGGTAAACTATAATTTATTATTAAATATCCTTAACACCCCACCGCAAGCTAAGCGTCGGATTTAAACGAACGTGAAGCTTGAATCTGAAAAATTCAAAGAGGTTGAGAAACACTTTTTATGAAGATGCTAACAACCCGGTTCTTGGCCATCAAAAATTGCAGAGGGATCGCCGCTCAGCGGCGATGCTGCCTTGGCTTCGGCGAGAATATGTCTAACCCATGAAGAGGGATTGTCGCTTAGCGACGATGCTGCCTTGGCTCTGGTGAGAATATTTCTAACCCCAAGAAGTAGAAGGGGAAACCTAGAGCAAGGGACAAATACAATGTTGAAGCCGGAAGAGTCGCCACATTGGGCGAAGGAGCCAATTTTGGCGAGAAGGACAGTCGGAAGAGTCGCCTCATCGGGCGAAGAAGCCAATTTTGGCAGGAAGGGCGGCGGCAACTTGGTTGGCGAATATGCCAGTGCGGCACCCAGATTCCGAAGGTAAATCTCTACAAAAGGTTGATAGGTTTAGGTTAGGGTTTATGTGAAGGATGAAGGTTGACTGGGAAGAAAATGAGAGATACTATATTGGCCAAGGGGAAAACCGATTGGGTTGGAAAAGGTGAGGTTGTATGTACAGAGTATGACGAAAGGTGATTTGGAGGTCAATAGGGTGGAGCCGAAGAGTAATCAATCGGCTCCGACTACGGCAACCATGAAGACTGCCTCTGCGGCGTCAAAACCAGCAGGGGTGGTGGAGAAGAAGATTAGAGGATTCAAAAGCCATTGAAAAGAAAGAATCGGGGTTGTTAAACCGAGAGGGCTCTGATACCATGTGAATGTTTGATTAATCCACCACAGCCAAATGGTGTGAAAGTTATCTTATTTATAATCAAATGAATTACAAGGATATGAAAATAGTAATAAATGGAAATAACAATAAATGGAAAGATACCTATGATAATAAGGCAAATATCTACTCATAATAAAATATCAAATATAATATATATGGTAAACTATAATTTATTATTAAATATCCTTAACACACAGTTATTAAATATATTAATTTATTATGATTTTTTTAATAAAGATTGCATTAAAAAATAAAAAGTTTTAAAATAATTATGGTGAGAATAATAAATGAAATAAGTGGTGGGGATTGTTAGACAAACACGACTCTCCACAATGGTATGATATTCTCTACTTTGAGCATAAACTCTTATGACTCTGCTTTAAGTTTCCCCAAAAGACCTCGTACCAATGTAGAGAGTATTTTTTGATTATAAACTCATGATAACTCTGATATATATGACTTAAAGGTATTTCAACCTGCTATTTATTTAAAATATATTTTTAGAGAAATATTATACATAAAGGAAAACATGTTTTGTTTTAGGGAATAAAAAAGAAAAAAGAAAAAAGAGCAATAATAATAAATGGATAGAAAGTAGAAAAAGGAAAAACAATCATTTTTCAGTCAAAAAGATCCACACCAAATTAAGGGAAAAAATGTATATATATATATATATATTTTTCTCTATCACATTTNTTTTTTTTTTTTTTTTTTTTTTTTTTTTTTTTTTTTAAGGAAAGGATGATATATAAATAAAAATAAAAATTTATTATTTTAAAATCAACGCTATTCATCCAAATGACCTAAACACGTACTTTATTAAAGTTCTTGACGAATATTTTAACGTATATGAAAACGACCCAAATGAAATAATAAATGAAAGTATTTTTTAATTTACTTTTTCATGATAATTTTTTTTAATTAAAAGACTCGATTGAAATAACACCACTTATATATTAAAGTAGAAAAAGTTTAAAAAATATCATAAATATTAAAAATAAAACTATTATTATTATTTATTTATTTGGGTTGGAAAGGTAGTTTTATTTTACCATTGCCATATTACGTGGAAATTGTAAAAAAAAAAAAAAAAATTATGATTATTACTAGCTTATTTATTTATTTATATATATATATATTATTAAAATAGGGAATGTAATTTAATGTGGTTTTGAAAATGCATATTATTCAAGGCTATCATGTGAATGCATTGGACATTGCACATTTTTCTTCTCTACCATGGAAACATCAATGTCCCCTTCCCCAAAACACATCAATACCAATAAATAAATAAATATATTAATTAGAATATTGACCAACCTTAATGACGTATTTTTATGAAAATTTAGTGTATAAATAGCGTATTTTTGTTGACTTTTCTTCATTTGACTCGATAACTTGCAGTTCTAACTATCCGACCCAAAACGTTAGATTTTTCTGGTGTAGATTGAGTTTGATATTTGAAAATTTGAAAATTTAATTCCGTTTACGAGGTGGGACTTTTTTTTACCTAAAATTTTAAATTAGTAAAAAAAATTGCCAACCTCTTCCGTCCTTAAATTTAACGGTCATAAAGAATGAGAATTACACTGTATCAATATTAAATTTTTAAAGTCACATGTTTTTTTTCACTTTATTTTTTATTTTTTATTTTTAAATATTTCAAAAGTTAAAACTTTATTTTTCACTTATAAAAAACCAAAATTTAAAATAATATAATAACCGTACCTCACGTGAATTTACCTTTTTTTTTTTTTACACCACTTTTTTTTTTTTAAAAAAACCCATTAACCTTTTTCTCTATTTGATAATTCTATTTTTTTTTTTAATATCTCAAATACTTTTTATTCAAAATTTAAATACACACAAACATCAAAGTTTTGAAATAAAATGACCATAAACTCTATAATTCGAGGGTACCCTCGTAATTAAAGAGAATTGACACGACCGTTTAGTTTCACAAATTTAATAAGTGGGTTTTACAATATCTCTTAAAAAACTCTTTTAAACGAGCAATAATTGAATGCACTCTAACTTGCACTCAAGGAATACTTTCTCGATTGGTGTGAAAGTTTTTGGAGATTCATGTTTAAGACAATATTATATCATTATGAGAGTCGTGTTCATCAAACTCACATAATTTTTTTAAGAGAAACAAGAGCTTGTGGAGCAACCGAGGATCCACGCAAGAACGGATATATAATTAATATTTTTTGAAAATGAAAAAAAAAAGGAGTAGGCATTGGAAGCAAGTTGGTGGAGCTGGTTGGTTCAGTTAAGCAAAAAAGTGAAGAGGTGGGATTTTGGTAATACACAGAGGAAATTTGAAGTAACGCTTTACAAAGAGACAAACAGTCTGTTTCCTTTTTCCCTCCCCAAACCCCCAAAAAAAGCTTCCCCACACGAACGCTTCTTCTTTATAACCTTCCCTTTCTCTCCTTCATTTCATTTCATTCTCCAATGAACCTTCCTCCCTTCAATCATGCCTTTCCCGGTAATGGGTTGCTTCAAAATCCTGCCTTGATGCCGCCGCTGCCGCCGCCTCTGCCTTCCAGTGATGGAACTGCCATTGTTACTAAAAACAATGCACCCCGCCGTCACACCAAGCTTTGTGCTAGAGGCCATTGGAGGCCGGCGGAGGATGCTAAGCTTAAAGAACTCGTCGCCCATTATGGCCCTCAAAACTGGAATCTTATCGCTGAGAATCTCCGTGGAAGATCAGGTACCGTTTTTAGTTCACTAAAAGCTTTCTTTTCACTAAATGTAATCTGGGTTTGAATCGGATTTTTGTTTGGTGGGTTAAGGAAAAAGTTGCAGATTGAGATGGTTTAATCAATTGGATCCAAGGATAAACAGAACAGCGTTCAACGAAGAAGAAGAAGAACGGCTCGTAACAGCTCATAGATTGTATGGAAACAAATGGGCTATGATTGCTCGTTTGTTTCCTGGTAGAACTGATAACGCCGTCAAGAATCATTGGCACGTAATCATGGCTAGAAAACAGAGAAGATCCTTACGAAAGATCTTTCAGAAAAACAATGTTTCCGGCGAATCCACCATTTCCAGCACCGTCTCTACCTCCGCCGCCTCAAGTAAGTTCAACCCTTTTGAAAACTCTGTTTAGATTAGTGGTTTTTAAGTCTAAATGGGTTGATTGTAGGGTGGTGCAGCGGCATGGGGAAGGTATGGGGAAAAACAGAGGAGGCGATGGCGGCGGAGCAGTCAGGGAACTCTGAGTCGAACTCGGATGTTTCGGCGGCGGAGTCAGTGATTTCAACGAATCTGTGCTTATCATCTGGGTGGGGAAACGGTCGGCGGCGGCAGGATCATATGAAAATGGAGTTCATTGATTTCCTTGGAGTTGGAGCTTCTTGAAATAAAAACCATTGCTTTAGTACACACTCCCTGTTTCTCAAACATTCATACACAAACTGTTCCTCTGTTTCCTTTATGAAAAGCAGAGTATAAATGTAAACAAAAAAAACTACCTCTTTCTCTCTCTATAATGTACAGTGAGAAATTGAGGAGAGCGAGAAGATAAGAACTCTGTTTTTTGTTGGGGCGGTCGGAAAAACTAGGTGGAAAGACAGGACTTGTCGGACAAGCTGTTGGTGGGGGAGTGTCTGTATTTCCATAGCTCACTTTCAAAAGCCAAGAAGATATTAAGGAATTTTTTTTTTTAATTTTATTTTATTTATAATTATATAAAAAAAAATGTTATTTAAATTTTGTGAAGCTTTGTAAATGATGGGTTGATTGGAATTCTTACCTAGAGATTAAGAATGTTGGGCCTACATGAGCTAAAGATTCCTTTCTGTTAAATATTTAGAGTTTTTGTTCGTGTTGGATGGGAGAATGGTTATGACTCTACTTTTCGTCGTTCTACTATTCGAAATGTGTCGGTTGTTTGAAGTTTTGGGGTTGAGTTGGGTAGGACCATACCCAATTGATTGGATCTGATTGTAGCTTTGAGTTTTGAGGTAATACCATGATTGTCGTTAAAGGAAGTGGGTTGTGAACCTATTGTCCAGAGGAGTTATTTGCACGCACTTACTCTAAAAACCATACACACCGAGTGGGTTTGGGTAGTTACAAATTGTATCGGAGCTAGACACCGAGAGATGTGCTAGTGAGGACGCTGACCCTCAAGAGAAGAGGAGGTTGGATTGTGAGATCCTATATCAGTTGGAAAAGAAAACGAAACATTTCTTATAAGGGTGTGGAAACCTCTCCCTAACAGATTTGTTTTAAAACCGTGAGTCTAACGGCGATGCGTAATGAGCTAAAACAAACAATATCTGCTAACAGTAGGCTAAGACGGTTATTAACTTTGGTTGACTGAGATGTTGTTTGAATTAATTCATGTTCGTACTCTTTTCCTCGTATTTTGAATTTTTTCTTAAAATTATTAATTAAATGATCACTATTTCATAATTATGAGATTAAATACATTAATCGATTAGTTAATATATCAAATCCCACCATTATTAATATTTGAATATAACTATTTAGAAATCATTTTAGATTGACTTCCAAAATTATCCTTCTTATTATTTTATTATTTTGTTTTGTTCTTACTCCAATCACATCACTCTCTTAACCACATTATATATATATATATATATATACATATATATGTATATGTATATATATATATATATATGTATATATTTGTGTATAATCTATTTTCAAAAGTTTTTGAAAAAAATATTTTTTTATGTTACGAAACATATTGAAGGATGTGGGCCAGCCCAACGTTGGGCTCTTAGGTAGTTCAAAGCCCAACTAATTTATCTAGAGCCCAATTAAGCCCAATTTTGTCCATAGTGAAATAAATAAATAAAGTAGACAATAATTTAAAAAAGAGAAAGGCTTGGAAAAATAATTAAAAAAAATAAATATTAGACTTTGGGTGTCACACCCGATGACCCGAACATTACCTACTTGTTCTGAAATGTTTCAACAGTGAAAGATCCGATACCAACACGAGTTATTTCAACATACTCTAAGATATATACCGAAAAAAAAAAAAAAAAATTATTGATATAAATAGTAATAGTAATTAAGTAAAAAATTAGAAGGTAAAAAAATATAAATAGTAAAGAGAGGTAAAAAGTAAAAACATCCGTCAGATTGAGAATGGTTATATTGGTCGGTAGAGAAAGCCAAGTTGCTGATTTCTGTGCATCGTTTTTTGAAGCTTCCCTAATCCACGTACTCACCATGCACTTTTTCATCAACTTCCAACATTTTTTTATTTTTTATTTTTTTAATTCTCTTTCTCTCTCTAATTTAAATTTTTTTCTATTTATAATAATTTTTTACTATTTTATTTTGTTTTTATTCGTGGGAAAATATTTGTAAATGTTTTTTAAGTTATGGTTGGAAAAGCAAATGTTGTCTCCTACTCGAAAAAAGGTATTGTAGCAATATTTTCATTGGTATAAGATTTTTTTTCTTTAAATCGAGTAATATTTGAGAGTTTTCTGAGCTGTTTCTATTTTTTCTGCTCATTCCAACTATACCCACAAAAAAAAAAAAATCGATGGTTTATGTTTGCAGTACTAATGCATCGTAAAATTGAAAAGAAACCACATTGAGTTGACCAAATAGTCAATAAATAGTACGAAAACACTAAAGTATTTTGAGAAAATGTGTCATCGGCCAAGCCACTGTTAGTAAATATTGTCCGCTTTAGCTCATTACGTATCACCGTCAGCCTCATAATTTTATAATTACCCATTTCTTCAACAATCATAAACATGTAGATAGTTGCTTATTTAACTCGAGATTTCAGGTGAGAGCCACAAACTCATAATATTAGATATTTAGAAATTAGAAGGGCTAAATAGAAAGAAAAAAAAAAACATTTTGAAAAATAAAAAGGTTGTCTTTGTACGAGATTTGGTAACCGACAATAAATTGAAAATTTTAATGTAAAGAAACAACTAAACAAATCTTTAGGGCTAAATCTCTGTCTTTGTCTCATACGAAAAATGTTGGCTGTTTTTTCCATTAGCTCACATATATTTTATTTTCTCAATGAATTATTGGCCATATCATATTTTCCCTCTAATCAAACTATTATTTTTCCGCGTCTAGCGACTTCTTCCACTCTCGGTCCCCGGGGTTCGAGACGAAGAATATTCCGTTTAAACTTCCTTTTCGATTCTCGTTTCCAGCCCTTTTCTCTTTTCGATCCCGTTTAGTATAGACCTTCACAGGTTAAACGAACATCCCTTTTTTAAGTCTTTATATCAATAATTATAAAGGTGACGTGGAAAGATTAATTACCTCGAATATTTACCTACCAAATTCCATTTGACGAACGTTATAAACTTTAATTCGCCACGGTATTAAAATAATTAAAAGCTTTTACCTGCCCGAAAATAAGAAAGTAGGCACACAAATTTGTAACCCTTTTTAAGTATTGGTTGAAGAATATATTATTATTTTGTCTAATGTGTCATCAATTGTATTGTACTCATTAATATTTACATGTCAAGTTGTTGCATATTTTTAATAATAATTAAAACTACTGAAAATAAATTTTATAATAATTAAATGGAAAAACAAAAATTATTATAATTAAAATTTAAATAAGAGGAAGAATAAAAAATTAATTTTATTTTAGAAAAATCAAATATTTAAAATTATTATATTACATTATTTAACTTAATATAAAATCTTATTGTAAAGTCACATTAATGATAATTATTCTTCTTAATTAAATTCTATTATTTCATGTTTATTTTTAAGATTTAAACTTTATAAAGTTATTGAAATTAAAAAAAAAAAAAAAAAACTAAAGAATTTTTTTGAAAATAGGGTTTTCCTTTTGAATTTTGTTTAAAATTTTAAAAAATAGTTACAAAACTCGTCAACAAAGAATATTTATATTATATGAATCGATTAAAGTGTAAATCTTACCTATAAAATAAACCGACATTATGGGACGAAACCTTGTCTTTTCAAATATAATATTCTAGCCTCGAACCAACTTTTAATATCAACACGAACCTCAAAAGAATTTAGGTTTGTGATAATTTTTCGAACGTAAACCCTAAATTACTCGTTCCATTCATACAAGGCAAGAAATGGGTCCATTTCTTTCATGTTGTTTTAGGGTTAATATAAATGGTCTCCCATGACATAAAAAAAAACCAAAAAATAAGAGAAATTAAAGAGAAAATGAGAGATATTTATGTATATAAATATGGAAATGGGTATGCTTTGAAGGTTTATGATAAAGTTTTTGTGTTTTTTTTTATAAAAAACAGATCCAAAGTAACCAAACCCCAAATTAAACATAAACATTAAAAAGAGGAAAAAAGGCAAATGATTTGAAAGAGAGATTTGTTATGAATTGTCTTGTTGGTCGGCGCTGTCGTTTGTTGTTGCTGCTGGTAGCTGCTGGTAGCTGCTTTCTTTCCTAACTCATGTCGGTCTTGAAACCTGTGACACCAAAGTTCCACACTATCAGCTTAATCATCATCATTATTAGCTTTCTCTTTAGCCTTTGTTTTTGTGTTCTTTGTTCATTCATTGAATGTGAGTTGCAATTTAAAGAATGCCTAAGATTATAGTTTCCTATCCACACAGACAAACTTCATGGAATCCTGGAAAGTTCTCCCTTTTTTTTTTTTCACCTCGTTCGTGAATTTTGAATCACGAACGGGCTAAATGTAATGAACAATGTACTATTTGCTTTTCTGAAGCTAAGAGTTTGGATTCATGTCTTATGTTTTATCTGTTCGTGGATTTGTGTCACGAGTAGGATAAACGTGATGAAGAAAGTATCTATTTTGAAGCTAAAAGCTCGATTTTAAGCTGAAAAAAATGATGGGTTTGATACGTTATCTAGAGTCGGTGTGATCTCTACACCGTACCCTTGTTAGTCGTCTTTTTTCATTCTTTCCTTTCTAATGAAAATGATTCCTAGTCAATTCATGGTCCTATTATGCACTTTTAGTCCTGAAATTGAGGACATCATTTGTTTAAATTAACACCCAATTATGATGTGTTTTGATGGTTGTTTGTTAGGGTTCTTATCTTTTAGCTCAAAAAGTGGATTCGAAGAACTCGAACATCTGGCCTTTTGATCATTAATATATACCTTAACGAATTGAACTATATTCAGATAGCTCAAGCTTCATAAACCCACTTCCCCACTCGATGTTCCTTCAAATCTAAGTGCATCCGTCTAGGTTATCTCCTAACTCAGCACTACACAAATGATTCCAAAAACCCTATTTCTTAATTGATTCCGTCCATTCATTCCAGAAAACAAAATAAGAATCTAACATCACAACTAAAATCTCTTTATTTCAACAAATTAATTGAAAATATCTTTATCATCTAAAAAATATTTGAATTCTCAGTCAGATTCCAGAAATAACGATTCGGTAATGAAAATCAACCCTAACAAGAACATAAGCAACAAAGGAAAGCAACATTATAAAATTTGATCTTCCCGAACGAAATAATTATCGAACGAAACGATGAAATTGAGGAGTAATTACCAGAAAATAGCTTTCACCATGCTGCAAAGAGTGCAGAGAGATTCCAAATTCATTGGTAAGAACTGGGAGTCCTGATGAATGAACCAACACTGTCTCTTGCCCAAACATTGCCTTCATGTCCACTGGCCCTTTTGGCACTTCTGTCGGAACTCCATTTAT